CTCCAAAACCTCACCTCCACCGACCTCGCTCCCTGAGACCTACCCACCCCTGGCCTCCCCCAACCCCCACTCCGGCCTCAATTCCCACTGGCCTCGCACCCAAAGACCTCTTCCCTTCCCTTCCCTCTGGCCTCGCTATCATCTACCTCCGGTCTCGACCTCCGAGACCTTGCTCCCTGAAATCTTTCCCCACTAATTCATACCAAGAGTCCTGTAGCCTGTAGTCCTGTAGCTCAGTGGTTAGAGCACTCGCCTTGCAAGCGAGATACCTGGGTTCAATTCCAGGCAGGGCGAAACCTTGGGGAAGTTTTCTTACTCCACACACCTAATAATAATCCCTCCAAAACAACAAAAAATAATAAATTGTTCATTTTCAATCCATGACTGTTTGAGGGACACTGCTGTGCACAATTGGCTGCCGCGTTTCGCCCACAAATATACGGTCAATTCACTTTACAGTCTATTCTGTGAAGCACTTTGAGACGTCAAGAAGATATGAAAAGCGCTATATCAAATGCAAGGATTATTATATTATAAGTGCTTTGAGACGTCTAGAAGACGTGAAAAGCACTATATCAAATGCAAGGATTATTATTATTATAATAAGAGTAGTGAGGTTGGGGAACTCACTGCCACAATCTCACTACTCCCTGCCCACTACTAGCCTTGGTGGTTGAATTGAATAGTGTAGATGCATTCAAGAGGAAGTTAGACTTTCACATGCAGATGTCCACAAGTGCGTTTCTCCCTCTGAGGCCCCTTGTTTTCATATCTGTGCTCAAGGACATGATCAATTATCTCAGAAGAATACAATACAAAATTACATTTGTAAAGTGCCTTTCACGTCAGGCGGACATCCCAAGGCACTGGACAGTCAGGGATTATGACACAATCGGGGGGGTGTTGGGATCAGGGAAGGTGGAGTGTAGGAAGGTGGCCAAGCCAAAGGCACAGTCAAAGAGGAGCGTCTTGAGCCGTGCCTTTGTAAATAGTTGGGATTATGGTATAAGAATCATTAGTATTGATCATGCAGTGAATAGATGAATTAAGAAGAATGAATTAAAGAAATAAAAACTGCCATGTGGCATGCATCACACACACACACCCACAGTCCTAGTAAAGAGACACTGAGCTAGGCAGCAACACACTGGAATGCGACCCAAGGCCAGGGAAGATAAGAATAGCTGGATCATAAGGATGAATGGTAGGCCAGCTGTGCTTACAGGGGCATGTGACGCAAGGGGAGGAGAGACAGGAACCTGGGATAATTGGACCAGGAGAATGGATGGGAGGCCAACAATGTGGGCAGGTATACAAAATTAGCAAAAGAGCGTGGTTTTAAAACTGACAATTAGAGAAAGAAGTAATGAGAAGAAAGGAGATTGAATACAGATGGTTGGTGATAAAGGGCATTAAACAAATGGTAGCCCAAATTTAGAAGTGTTCGAGCCTCTGAGGAGAGGAAGGGGACGAACCTCTCCAGAGAAGAGTGTCTTTGAGGGAAAGAGGACAAGTCCAGCCATCCCTGGAGTGGACCTCAAAAAGGACAAGTTCACCCCTTGCCGGAGTGGACCACCAAGAGATGTTTGCAGCTAGAAATAAGCCAGAGACGTTTGGAGCCAAACGCAAGCTGGAGACATTTGCAGCCAGCAGGACACCGGAGACAGTGTTTAATTTTTCTGCTAGCCTTAGAACTTTGTCACAACTTCCTGCCTGCTTGGTACTATCTCTCCTACTTACTAAAACACGCACCCAACATACATACAAACAGTTAAGGATTATTTAGGCACATTTCATATATCACATAATGTTTTTTATATATGTTTAGAATTTTAGTATTGAGTGTATCTTGTTAAGATAGTGCTTTAGTAGTCATTTAAGCACAATGAGTAATGATAATGCTTCAGGTGTAATGTGATGATTAGGCTTTTGTGGTTTTATAATTGATAATAAAATGTTTTAATAATATCCTTGTTGTGGTTTCTGACAAACGCTTGAACCCAATTTCACACCTTGAAGGAGGCAAGGGTCAGGGAACGAGGTGAAGGGAATGTGGGATGGAGTTCCAGAGGGTGGAGGCAGAGAGGCTGAAGATCCGATCACCGAGTGTCTACGTTTATTTAGCAAAGCTGTGTGGAGACTCAGAAAGTAACATCTTTCTTCGCTTTTACTTTCTGAGTCTCCTTGTGGTATACAAGATGTCTTTTCAAGTAGTTCTCCTTCATTTTTCCAAGATCCTGGATATGCAGCACAGGCGTCTCCTTTGGCCCATTTGCAAAGTCCAGGACCAAGCAGTGAAGTTGATTGGTGGTAAAAAGGGGAAGTGACTGCAGGAAGGAAGGGATCAGATCTACTTTGACCTGTCCCTTATATAAGCAATCCTAGAATTCTGGAATGCTTGAGTTGACCAAGAGAAAATCACCGTCATAGAGTTGTTTGCGTAAGAAAAGCTGCAACTACAAGAACAGTGGAAACATGTTTACAAACCACAAAGATTCAACATCATCATTGATAAGACATTGTTGTTGCTACACAATGGATGTTAACTCTGTGGTAATCAGATTTGTTTAAAACAAACTTGAAATTTTGATGAAGGCGAGGGAATGTTGACAACTATGGATAATGGAGACAGGAGCATATTATCTGCCTAAAAAGATGTTTTTTGTGGAGCTGAATGCTAAATGTCTTTACAAGGTCGATGTGTATGATTTTACAAGATATAAATGTTAGGATAATTCTCTCAACGAAAAGCAGAAGAGCAGAGATTTGGAAAATGGACAAGTTACCCATAACCGACATCTTAAAAGGATTTACAAGAAGAAAAAGAAGAGACAGGCAGTTGGTACTTGGAGTCATAAACCATATTCCAGATTCTAACGAAGAAAGCTCGAAATTAACTTAAGATGACTGTCAACAACTTTATCAACGCTCACCAGCTGGTAGCAGTACAGGAGTACCTGGAAACCTTTTTGAACAGCAGCAGAACGGAAGCCGTTTATGGAGAACCAGCATCAAAGGATCAAAAAGTGATGTTGCAATGAATGCCTGACCACCAAAAGCCAGTTATATTGTGAAATCCTGGTTTCACTATTTCCATATGTTAATGAAACTTAAGTGATCTTTCATCTATCTGGTTCATAGGATCTTTCTGTGCTCCCTGAGGAACACAGTAACATAGGAACAGGAGTTGGCCATTCAGCCCCTCGACCCTGTTCCACCATTCTATAAGATCATGGCTGATCTGTACTTCAACTCCAATTACCTGCCCTTGCCTCATATCCCTTGATACCCTTATCTGACTGAAATCTGTCGACCTCAGTCTTGAAAATTTGAATGGATGCAGCATTCATTCAAATTAGGATACCTGAGACACCTTAGGACCACCAGAGAAACAGTGTTGACAAGTGTGACAAGTGATAATGCCTGAAAGAAAAGACACAGTATTTTGCAGAGAACAAATTTTTAATGAATGTATTGGTGAGATTTATACAGTATTTATTTTAATATCACACCATTCTTGCTTGGGATTTCTGATATTATCATGCAAAATCTTGCAAGAGTAAAGATTTTATCATGATCAACCGAGTTGCCAGGGATGTAATCTTTCACTCAGAGTGTTTGAATCCTATCTTCTCCTTGCAAAAATTCCAGCTTGTTGGCCTGGATCTCACCCCAATCCTCCTCCGCTGCTCCCCCCCCCAACCCATTAGTCCAGCTAGGCGGGATTTAAGTGTACTTTCTGTACGCCACCACCCATGAAAATTTCACTGCATCTGCAGTGAAAGCACGCTCTCCCTGGAGGGTGCACCCTGCCTACCTTATTCGGGAAACTCTAAAGGCACACTTTGAGGAGAGCTGGAGCTTGATGTATTGGAGTAAATTTGGAGAATAACTAAAACCACCTGTCATTGAGAGCAAGCTTTCCGCTGCTTGTCCACTCTACCCATTAATGCTTGTCTTGCAGGGTTAACAGGCATTGAGTGGGAAGAATACATCTTCCCAGGGTTAACAGGCATTGAGTGGGAAGAATACATCTTCCCAGTGACCGATCTGCTTTTCCAAATCCTGTCCCAGAGTGCTTGAGAGTGGCGGAGCACGACTATGAGCCGGTGAGGGGGGGGGGAGCGGGGTGATCGTAGGCACAACAACTTGTACTTATATAGCAGCCTCCATGCAGGGTAGCAGCTCAGAGCACTTAACAATGATGAAGCTTGACTCCCCACCGAGTCACGGAAGGAAATGGAAGGTCTTCAGACGCAACTTAAAGATGGGGAAGGAAGGGACAAGGTGGAGAGATAGAGTGTTCAAGAACATGAACGAGTATCATAATGTCCAGCTGTCCTTAAAATTAAAATTAACTGATTTGTTTTGACAAAACAGACACTTGCCCATGATTCACAATGGGATTGTAATATTTGCAATAATATTTGTCATTTGCCATTTGACCAGACTTGCTTAACTACTCACTAACCCAGCAACCAGTGCAATGCAGCACCCGGGCTGTCCCCACAGAGTCACATTGTAGTCAATCCAAGGATTTTTTGCAAAGAATATCTTCTGATCCCCTGGATTATGCCCAGAGGAGCGGAGTTCCTGAAAGTGCGTCGCCAACAGACCCATTGCAGCTCAAAGTTTCATGTTGGAGTGTTGCTGAAGAATATGCCTGGGTATTCGATCGCCTGGGGATATTATCCCAACACACTCACAACCTGGACTCTAACAGAATCAATGGACTTGAGAGGGAGGGATTCACATGTGACTTTGGACTGGTTTAGGAGGGGAGGAGCTGTCCCTTGAAGTGCAACTGCTCATGATTACTGAGAGCAGTGCTTGCCAGTCAAACCTGCACGGCTGTGTGAATGTTTCAGTTTATTTGAATTGTTGGAAGAGAATTTTGTTTGAAAGAACTTTAAATATCATGTCCATGAGATCATAGAAAAAATTATTACTTGTCGACATTATCTGTGTCAACTGGAAGAACATTGTATTCAGAAAAGGAGACAATGCAAGACTATGATGAAGCCATCGCTTTCCTGGGAGATTGGGGAGCCTTCCAGAGAACTGTGTTCTTTTTGTTGAGTGTTTCAGTTATCCCTAATGGCTATGTGGGTCTGTCTATGGTGTTTCTGGCAGACACCCCTCAGCACCACTGCCGTCTGCCTGACTCTCTGAACGGAACCACTGGAGAAGCTAATCTGAGTTCACTGCTGCCTGTAGAGGAGGTGGATGGTGAGATGATCTACAGTCGATGTAGAAGATACAAAACTCCTGCAACAGATGCTTTAAATGCCACAACACGTGAGACTGAGCCCTGTGTGGATGGCTGGGAGTACAGCACTGACAGGTACATCTCTACTATTGTCACTCAGGTAAGAATAGCAGACCAACTATTGACATGCAAACATGCACCAAAAGAGATGAGTGTGTTTGGATGAGCGTGCATATACTTATGAGGAATTGATGATTTTGTTGTAGTTTGCAATGAAAAAAAACCTATCACTGTTTTTGTAAGAAAACATGTCAATCAAAAGCATCCCATAAACAGTTGGGAATGACCAACTAGAATGACCGATTAATATGAAAAATAGTTGGCCAAGATAACAGTTTTCAATAATAAATCTTATATTTGATACAGTGGCTTAATATGTTGGTGAGATGTTTTAAAGTGTTTCACAAGATTTACAGTAAAGAGTAGTGACAGTGTATTACTGTGTGGGACGGTGATGGGCTATGTTGCTGTGTGGGACAGTGATGGGCTATGTTGCTGTGTGGGACAGTGATGAGCTGTGTTGCTGTGTGGGACAGTGATGGGCTGTGTTACTGTGTGGGACAGTGATGGGCTGTGTTACTGTGTGGGACAGTGATGGGCTGTGTTGCTGTGTGGGACAGTGATGGGCTGTGTTACTGTGTGGGACAGTGATGGGCTGTGTTACTGTGTGGGACAGTGATGGGCTGTGTTACTGTTGTGGGACAGTGATGGGCTGTGTTACTGTGAAGTACAGCAATGTGTTCTGTTACTGTGCGGGATCATGATGTGCTGCGTTACTGTGTGGTGTGCGTTCCATGGGCTCTAATCTTATGCAGCAGTCTTTTATGTGGCACCTTGTCGAATGCCTTCCAGAAATCCAAATAAACCACATCTACTGGTTACTGTGTGGAAAAATTATTTGCTGTGTTACGGTGTGGTACTTAAATGTGCTGTATTAATGTGTGGGATAATGATATAGTGTTACAGTGTGGGATAAAGAAGAGCTGTGTTACTGTGTGGGACCATGATTTGCTGTGTTACTCTAAGAGACAGTGATGTGCCATGTTAATTTGTGCGACAGTGATGTGCTGTGTTACTGTGTGGGACAGTAATGTGCTGTGTTACTGTGTGAGACATTGATGTGCAGTGCTATTATGTGAGTTAGTGATATACTGTAATACTGTTTGGCATTTCTTTTTGGGACAGTGATGTGTTGTGTTACTTGTCCCAGAGAGGATAGACCTCAAGATTCTCACCCTTGTATTCAAATACCTCCACTCCTCTGCACCCCCCTACCTCTCTCCTCTCTCCTCACAACATTGCCCATTGCCTTTGTTCCACTGGGTCCGGCCTCCTCCTTGTTCCCAGAGTCCTGCGATCCACCCTCGGCAGCCGTGCTTTCAGCCACTGTGCCCGAAGCTCTAGAACTCCCTTCCTCTCTCCCTTCGCCTCTCCCCTCTCTTCCTATTTTCAGATCTCTACTGAAGACCTTTCTCTTCGACCACACCTTTGGTCACCTTCCTCCCCTCCCCCGGCTCGGCCCCGGGATCCGTTCCTGTGAAGCGCTCTGAGACGCTGTCCGGTGTGGAGGGCGCTATATAAATCCAAGTTATTGTTGTTGTTTGTAGTCGCTGTGTATTTTGTAGCCAATTGCAGCAGGCAATTTGCATACAGCAATGTTTCACAAACAGCCATTATGTGTTTTGTGGGCGAATGCAGCAGCCTATTTGGGCACAACATTGACCCACAAGGACACAAATTAAATAACCGATTTTATTTGGTGGTTTGTTGGCCAGAACACGGAAGAAAATCACTTTCTTAGAATAGTACATGGATCTTTAATGTCCACCTCAAGAGACAGAAGCGACCTTGGTTTAGCATCTCAGCTGTAAGACAGAGCCTCTAACAGTTCAGCACTCTGCCATTACCTCCCTGGGATTCCAGCCTAGACTATAAGCTCAATGTCTTGATGTGAGACTTGAACCCACAACCTTCTGATCGAGAGGTGAGAGTGTTACCAACTGAGCAGGTTTTGTAACATCTTGTCGCATTAAAATGTCTCAAAAAGGATTTTTATATAATGAAAATAACTTTGTGTATAATAAGCACGTCAATCATATGGATCATCAAATTCCTACAAATAGTTTTAAAGTGAATGATTAATTAATCTTATATATTGTTGGATAGGAAACCTGATACCTTCGCAATAGTAAATTAAATGATTATTATTCAATTATAATTATTTACTTGTGCGCTTTGAAGTTTTAGTTGCTTTTTATTATAAACAAAATGGTAAATCTTCAAGAAGAATTTACCCTTCCTCAGTATCAGAAACTAAAAGGAAGCAAACAGCTGAACAAGTAGCAGGTTTTACCAAACGCCACTTATCCCCTTACTGGAAGGGATTATCCCATTCTTCTTATTTTTAGCAATTTCACCTTTCAGTCCAACAAGAAAATGCATATGACATATTTGCAATTTAAATTGTATTGCACTCCTCTGTAATTAATATATTTCTGCCAGCACTAAAAAATGTGCCATCACCAAAAAACCTGGGAACAATTGTCAAAACCCTTTTTTAATTATTCATTGCATTAATTGTGTTTTCCTTATTGTATAAAGTTCATCACTGAGTACCAAAAAGTCCTTATTAAATTGGAATTCTTCCTGAGATGAGCATGTGCATTTTTGTGCATGAGCATTGCATTTCGCCCACAAAATAGACAGTCAATTCACTTTACAGTTTATTCTGTGAAGCGCTTTGCGACAACACCGCAAGATGATAGACGCAATATCAAATGCAAGTACTTTTATTATATTGCAAGCAATAGTTTTAAAAATATAGATTTCCACAACATTTTATTTTAACGATTTAATAGAAATGGCATCTATTAAAAGATAAAGAACATTTCTGTGTTATTCACACATTGTTTCTATTTCCTTGCAGTGGGATCTCGTCTGTGAGGATAGCTGGAAAGGACCATTCACTACATCAATGTTTTTCGTAGGCGTGTTTTCTGGTTCCTTTGCCTCTGGACATCTTTCTGACAGGTAAAGCTTACAAATAACTGCAGTGAAGTGACTTCCAAGCTTGCTTTTCTCTTGACCATGGTTATCAGTATAGTGACTTTAGGAACTTGATTGCTTGATAATAATAATAACAATAATAATAATAATCTTTGTATTTGGTGATGGTGGGCTGGTTATACACATGTTGGCATTGAGAAAGATTTTGTGGGAGGGGAGAGGCGAGAAGGTAATTTCTAAATTTAAATCCAATTTTAAACTACATTTACCGTCTTAGTGATATTAATTGCTATTTGCACGGAAAGTTGTCCATGCTGTGAGAAGAAGATTAACAGTGTCTAAGTGTGGCTACAGAAATGGTGAAAAAGGAGATTTTAAATTCTTGTCCCATTGGGACCAATTTTGGGAAGCAGAAGGTGTTTAGATATGACAGGGCTTCACCTAAACCAAACCAGTACCAATTTTATCCTGCCGGAGATTTGGATTCCAGAGCAAGTAAATTAAAACAAAGCCAAAAGTTGATGTGTATCAGACTGATCCTGTCTACCTCTTCAGGTGTTTGATAAAGATTCCATGGCGACACAAAATACTATTCAAAAATAGAAAGGAATTTCTCCCAGTGTCCAGGCCAACAATCTCCCAAATAAAATTGGTTATTCATTTCAAGACTATCTGTGGAACATCTGTGCACACATAGGCTACCATATTCACCTACAAATGCAAGGTACGTTCTCCCAATGTGAAAGGCGCTTTACAACTGTAATTGTTGTTGTTGAAGAGTGTTATACCAAATGCAAATTATTAATACTTATAAACTGGGAGCAGCAGGGTATGGGACATTCATAACTTTAATTTGTGTCCAAAGGGGAAGTGAAGGTTTAGCCATTCGAACAGCATTTTTCTAAGAGCGCTGTTAACCCAGAATAGAGTCTCAGAATGCTGTATAATGGCAGGTTGGACGCCAAACAGGAGAAAAGGTGTGTGGGAGATCAAAGAGGCAGGTCTTCTGGTGAGATTTCAAGATTGATGAAGTGGAGGACAAGCCAGAGGTATTCAGGCAGGATGATTCAGTGAATAATAATAATAATCCTTGCATTTGATATAGCGCCTTATCACATCTTTGAGATGTCACAAAGCACTTCACGGAATATACTGTAAAGTGAATTGACTATATATTTTGTGTGCGAAATGCAGCAGCCAATTGCGCGCATCAGTGTCCCACAAACAGTCATGGATGAGTGACCTTATTTTTTTAAGGAATTATTACCCTCGGAAAGCGATCCACCAATCGATTGCTACTTACTGCTAGGTAAACAGAGTTGTGTGGAAACTTGTCCAACATTTCTCCCTGCCGGGAATCGAACCTAGGTCTTTCATTTGCGAGGCGAGTGCTCTAACCACTGATCTACAGGATTCCATGAAGGAACATCACCAGGAAGGAAATGTGTGACATCTCTTACAAGGCTGTGGCTGACATGGGGTGAGGGGCTGAGGTTCAGTCAATCCCACTATGTCTCTCTTGTGTGGAAGGTATGATGAGTGAAAGCTTGAGGGGTTGTGGATACACAGCAGCTTGTGTTAGCTAAGTGAAGGTGGGGTGGGGTGTGGTGGGGTGGCAAAGCAGTGGTGTAAGAGCAGGTCAGAGAAGTAGATCATGAAGGAATTTGTATGTGGGGGTGAGGCTCTTGAAACCTGTTTGGGTACAGGAAGCATAGAAAGGATTGGCATGATGGTTAGGTGTAGTTTGGTGGTTTGATTACTGAAAGTGTTGTCAAAGAGGTGTGTTTTGAGCTGGACCTTAAATCGAGGGATGAAGAAAGATACAGGGTCTCAGGAATGGAGTTCCAGCAAGCAAGGGTGAATGACTAAAATGATTGGCCTTCCTTGGAACTTTCTTAAAAAGAAGACTTGATTGTTGTATTCAAAATTATAAAATTATTTATTTAGAAGATTTCAATGCAGATATATTTTCCTGTCATGTAGAGATATATTCTGTGAAGCACTTTGAGACATCTCAGTGACATGATAAGCCGCTATATCAAATGCAAAGATTATTATTATTATTTTGAGAACAAAGGGTGGCATCATAACTTCAAAATAAAAGCAATAAGTATTACAAAATAGTGTAGGAGAATTTATTTTAAAAAAATCTAGCAAACTTTCCAACACTTTTGTCATGACATGAAATTCCTGAAGAACTTCCCAAACATGTTCTACAGCTTCCTAAAACGTTAAAAANTCTTCAAAGGAACCAGGTTGAGATAACAACAGCAACAATTTGCATTTATACAGTGTGTAATTGCATAAGAACTGTACAAAGTACATGCTAGAAGAACCTTCTTTTGTGAATTCAACACGTTGAACAGTTTTAAAAAGTATAAAAAGAACACCAATACATATCATTTCTATAAAACGTACTTTTATTTAATATTTGCTTATTTTCCTTTTAAGGTATGGGAGAAAGTTTATTCTGTTTGCCACCATGGCTTTACAGACAGTCTTCAGCCTTGTTCAAGTGTTTTCTGTGAGCTGGGAGATGTTCTGCACATTGTACTTTTTCGTTGGTCTTGGACAGATTTCAAATTATGTAGCTGCTTTTATTTTAGGTAAGTTTTGTTTAAAACATTACAAACAAAATGATGTATTACGTTTGTGTTAAGTTCTTGTTTTCTACCTTATTTTCATCTGTTTCTCCTCTGATGTTGTCTTCCCTGATTACGTGTTTATCTGTGCGCTTGGGCTTACATGGACAGCCTCTTACTTCTGGTTCAGAAGGTGTGAGTGTGGCCTCATAGTTTTAACTTTGAAGCCCATTTTCAATAACAACAACAATAACAAATTGCATTTATATAGTGCCTTCACATTAGGAGGACATTGAAGGATTTGTCCCTGAGCTGGGCTTTAATTTTGAATCTTTTTTTAAGTTAACTAATTTTGTTTAGTTAACTTAAATAGTGAATTTATGGTCTATAGAGGGGTAGATGAATAGAGAGATAATAATAATCCTTGCATTTGATATATCGGCTTATCACTTCTTCGAGACATCTCAAAGCGCTTCAAAAATATACTGTAAAGTGAATTGACTGTTTATTTTGTGGGCAGCCAATTGTGCACAGCAGTGTCCCACAAACAGTCATTGATTGAGTGACCAAATTAATATTATTATTTGTTATTTTGAAGGAATTATTACCCCAGGAAATGCGATCCGCCAATTGACTAACAACCCAGTTCCTACTTACTACTAGGTAAACAGAGGCGCGTGGAGGAAACTTGCCCAACGCTTCACCCGGCCGGGAATCGAACCCAGGTCTATTGCTAGTGAGGCGATTGCTCTAACCACTAAGCTAATGGATCAAATTTAGGCCGCTCTGTCTTCATCTAATGTACACACATAAATGTTAAGTTCAATAGATATTGGGCCACCAATGAAACTAGCCTGGTTGGTTTTGTTCTAAGTCGGAGGAGTCCTGTAGCGTAGTGGTTCGCATGCTCCATCGCAAGCCAGAGTATCCGGGTTCGATTCCTGGGAAGGGCGAAACATTAGGCAAGTTTCCTTACTCCACACCCCTCTGTTTACCCAGCATTAAGTAGAAACTTGGTTCTTAATTGATTGGTGGATCTTATTTGGTTACACACTATATAAATGCATAATAATTCTTCCCCCTGGTTTTCTTTGTAAAAATTTGCGACTGACTGTGGGAGACTGCTGTGCACAATTGTCTACTGTGGTTTGCCCACAAAATACACAGTTTACATTATATTCTGTGAAGTGCTTCGAGACATCTCAATGAAGTGATGAGTTGCTATATCGAATACAAGGATTATTATTATTTCTAGCAAAGTAACAAACGAGGTCAATTATGCTTCCCTATGGTATCTCATGCAAATAAACAAAGACAAGATTGAGCCTGCGACCTCCTTGGTTTGCATGGCTCAGTTACATATTATAGTGCATTTATCAACTTATATTGAAAATCATACCAATTTTAGTCTTGATGTGAAGAAATATGTTTAATGTCACTAAGTGCAATTTTGCTGTTTAAGGTTTGCTTTGAGTAATATTTAGTGAGTGCCTTCCTTGAATTATTGAACCACCTGTGAAAGTTTTATTGTTTAATAAATTGTTTCTCTTCTGGCTAAAGTAAATTATATTAAGGGTAGATCACACTTTTAATACATAAGTGTCTTATTTCATTTTTTTTCCCCCAAAAGGAACTGAGCTCCTTAGCAAATCTGCAGGTGCTGTTCATGGAACACTTGGCAACTGCCTGTTTTATGCTCTGGGTTACGCAATTATGCCTTTTTTAGCATATTTTATTCGAGATTGGCGGATGTTACTGCTAGCTATGACTCTTCCTGGATTTCTGTATGTGCCTTTATGGTGGTGAGTTTTCTTCAAACAATTCAATCAGCCTTACACTGAATGTTTGAATTCTGAAATTAACTTTTCTCATTTGTTTACCCATGTCCCTGCAGTCCTGCTCACACGGGTGGTCTCTCTTACTTGACATTTGATGCAGTTAGAGTGCCCATTTTCTTTTACAACAACAAATATACTGTTACTAGCTAATGCAATTGCACAGTTTTAAATTTGAATCAAGTTTCATAGATCATCTTAGTGGCAAACTTGCAGAAGAGTCTGCTTAGCAGAGGGAGCGGACGGGTTGATAGGGTTAACAGGTCAGCGAAGTAGGAAGGAGCAAGGCCATTGAGGGCTTTGAAGGCGAGGACACGGATTTTGAACTCTCTGAAGGATAGGGAGCCAGTGGAGCTGGGCAAGGGTGGGGGTGAGAGGATCACAGAGCCTATTAATGCCCATAACTCTCCGACTTCTCTAATTCATAAGGATGTGATGTAACCAAATCATTCAACAGCAACAAATTCCAATTATGTAGTGTCTTTCATGTAGGAAGGATCAATGAAAGACCATTTTTCTTTATTGACAAAGTTTTTCATGATGACCAGACCAACACCAAAAGTAGCAATGAAATAACAACAACAACAAATTACACTTGTGTAGCCCCCTACACATTGGAAAGACATCCCAGGACACTGGACAATCAGGGGTTTTGGACCTGAGGTGGCAGTTGGGGTCAGAAGGGGAGGAGGGCAGGGGTTAGGGTTGGGGATGGAAGGGTGGCCGAAGGCATGGTTGAAAAGGAAGTTCTGCAGACAGGACTTGAAGGAGGCAAGAGAGTGGGTGAGGTGGAGGGATTGCGGGATAGAGTTCCAGAATGTGGGGGCAGAGATGCTGAATACCCGGCCGCCAATGGTGGGCTGAGAAGTATGGGGGACCTGAAGCAGGCCGGTGTCCACCAAGTGGAGGGAGCGGACAGGCTGATATGGGGTTATGAGGTCAGAGAGGTAGGGGGGAGCAAGATCGTGGAGGCCTTGACAGTAAGAATGAAGGTTTTGTACTAGATTCTCTGAGGAAAGGGGAGCCAGTGAAGCCGAGCAAGAATGGAATGATAGGTTCCCGGAGGCTGGTGCAGGAAAGGACATGAGCTGCAGAATTCTGAATAATATGTAGCTTATGGAGGGAAGAGTTGGGAAGTCCAGTGAGCAGATAGGTGACGTAGTCAAGCCAACTGTGAGTCAATGAGGCAAACAAAGTGTCCAGGTGATGCCAGGTAAGAATTTCAAAAACTTGAATTTATAAAGCACTTTACTCATTGAAACTTCTTAAAGCACTAGACGAGTGACTTATTGTAGGTAGGTTGCACAATGCAATACAAAATTACAATCCAAAATTACATTTGTATACCACTATTCATGTTGGGAAGACCTTCAAAGGTGCCGGACAGTCAAGGATTTGGACCCGAGCTGGTAGATTGGTATCAGGAAGGGTGGGGGGGGCAGGGAGGGTAAGAGGGTCAAAGGCACAATTGAAGAGGAGGACCTTGAGATGTGTCTTGAAGGAGGCAAGGGAGTGAGTGAGGTGAAGGGACTGTGTGATGGAGCTCCAAAGATTGGTGCAGAAAGGCTAAAATACCTGGCCGCCGACGGTGGGGCGGGCCGGGTGGGGGAACAAGGAGCAGGCCGGAGCCTGCTGAGTGGAGGAAGTGGTCAAGTTGATAAGGGGTTAGCATGTCACAGAGGTAGGAGAGGGCAAGACCGTGGAGGTCCTTGAAGATGAGGACGAAGATTTCGAACTCTATCTTTGGAGGGATACGGAATCCGGGGATCCCGGTGAGGGTGCGGTTTGATAGTGTCACGGAGCCTGGTGTAGGAAAGGACATGAGCTGCAGAGTTCTGAATAATCTGCAGCTTGTGGGGGGAAGAGTTGGGAAGGCCAACAAGCAGGGAGTTGACGTAGTCGAGCCTAAATGTGATGAATGCGTGAATGAGGCTTTCTTCATCCACGCCTGAGGGGTGAGGCAATGGTGGAGCCGGGCAATGTTACAGAGATGGGGAATGCAGAACAGGTAATTGCACGGATGTGAGGTAGAAAGGACAGTTGAGGGACAAACAAGACAGAACGGTTCAGGACTGGCTCAGTAAGGTGGTGTGTACATCCTTGAATGATGATGCTGTCAGTGTCTGTGGTGTGGAGGTGTTGACGGGAGCCAATCTGGAGGGCTTCGGGCTTGTTGACGTTCAACTGTGGAAAGTTAGCTCTCATCCAGGATTTGATATCTGACAGACATTTTATCAGGACAGCAGTGGTCGTGGAGTCGAGGTTGGAAGCAGCGAGATAGGGTTATAATAATAATATTAATAATCCTTGCATTTGATGTAGGCTTTTCGTGTCTTCTCGACATCTCAAAGTGCTTCACACAATATAATGTAAAGTGAATTGACTGTATATTTTGGGGCAAAACGTGGCAGACAGTTGTCACAGCAGTGTCCCACAAACAGTCGTGGATTGAAGGAACAACTTATTATTGTTTTTTTTCTTGAGTGATTATTATCAGGCATGTGGAGTAAGGAAACTTGCCCAAGGTTGCACCCTGCCAGGAATCGAACCCAGGTCTCTCACTTGTGAGGCAAGTGCTCTAACCACTGAGCTACAGAACTCCACCGGCTGCGCATCAACTGCATACATATGAAAGTTGACACCATGTCTGGGGATGATGTAACCAAGAGGGAGCATATACATGTTGAAGAGGAGGGGACCAAGAACAAAGCTGAAGAATGCCACACGAGCTGATGTGGGGCTCCAGGAGAAGCCATTTGTGGAGACAAAGTGGAGACAGTGTGAAAAATAGGATCTGAATTACTCAAGGACAGAATCATGAAGGAGAAATATTTGGACACATCGTATATGTAACCTTGCTATCGCTGAAGAGAGATGAGAAATCCTTCACCTCTTCTCAGTGTGGTCCTGCAGGAAAGTGACCAAGCAAATGTTGGTGCCCACAACAAGCCTCCAGATACCTACAGGAATCAACAATTGGAAATAATGCCCCATGTATTTTCTGTTCAAATATTCTGTGTGCAAAGCTATATTTTCATAAGCATTCGTAGCAACAGCAACCCCTCTACCATTGTGGACTGCTAAACCCCACACAGCCTATCGCCCATTGATTGAGTGCCTATCCTCTCAGAAGTGACTTAGTGAAACCCAGAAGCACAGAGTCAACTCATCAGTGTAATGGGAGAATGTTTGAAAAGAACATTGCCGTAGTTTTGTTCCAGGGAGTGTAATCTGACATACTTTTTGATCTAACCTATTGTGTAACAGGATGCTATCCATATCTTCCCAAACCGGTTCCCCTAATTAACTATCTGCTAAGTGGCACTTATGATTTTAAGAGCTACACCGCCCTAAAGGCAGACATATGCCAGATAGCTGCTGAGGAACCTCTGAGTCTTCGAGTGACAGCTGCTGAAAAGTGTTGCTTGGAATCAGAGATTTTGAACACACGTCTGTCCAACCAGCATCTGGAATCCACCTAGATTGGCCTGCAGAGAGGCAAGCAGTTGCTGCTTAACATCCGCACCTCCAATTGGTGGAACCATTGCTCAATGGGAAGGGTTTTGTTCCCAAACTGCGGATAGAAAAATTTGGTGGCACATGTCATGTTGAGCTGTGTTGCCCACCGGGAAGCTTGCAAGAAGTTCCTGCTACCTACCATCCATCTAGTCAGAGCTCAGACTCACACTTGTGGGATGTCAAATGATCAACGAGTGACTATCCTTTTGGGGGGTCTCCTTGGGGAGGGGGGAGGTAAGCGGTTTCTCCTTGGGGAGGGGGAGGTAAACAGGGAGGTAAACACCTAGGAGCAGATCCAGGTCCAAGGTGAGATATCTGGCAACAGAAGGTCAGAATAGAGCCACTTATGTTGCGCCCTCCACACAGGGTAGCATCCCAGAGCGCTTAATAGTGGCGAAGGCTGACTCCGAGCTGGTGGGGAGTGGGGAGGTGGCCAAAGGCACGGTCGAAGAGGAAAGTTTTCAGGCGGGACTTGAAAGAGGGGAGAGAGGGGGCAAGACAGAGGGATTGAGAGAGACTGTTCCAGAGTTTTGGGGTGTAGTGGCTTAAAGCATGACCTCCGATGGTGGGGCAGAGTTTCTGCGGGACGAGAAGCAGACCGGTGCCAGTCGAGCGGAGGGCTGGGTGGTGGATTGGGGAGTGAGAAAGTCAGAGAGGTAGGGAGGTGCCAGGGAGTGAATGGATTTGAACACGAGTGTGAAGATCTTGAAGTCGATCCGTTCAGTGATGGGACGCCAGTGGAGCCTGGCCAGAACTGGTGAGATGTGGGTACGGAGTTTGGTCCAGATCAGTATGCGGGCGAGAGTTTTGAATGAGCTGGATCTTGTGAATGGTGGAGCTGTGGAGACCAGCGTGGAGTGCGTTGAGTAATACAAGTAGGAGGTGACAAACGCCTGCACGAGGGTTTTGGCACTGCAGTGTCTCACAAACAGTCGTGGATTGAATGACCAAATTATTATTTATTTATTTTTTCTTGGGGGATTATTATCAGGCATGTGGAGTAAGGAAACTTGCCCAAGGTTTCACCATCCCAAGAATCAAACCCAGACCTCTTGCTTGCGAGGCGAGTGCTCTAACCACTGAGCTACAGGACTCCACAAACTGTTTGAACCTCAACTATTCTTTCTACCCCACATCTGTGCCATGACCCGCTCTGCCTTCCCCCACCTCCGCAACATCACTTGGCTCCGCCATTGTCTCACACCGCAGGCCGCTGAAACCCTCATACACCCATTCATTACATCCAGCTTGACTATGCAAACTCTCTGCTTGTTGGCCTCCCCACCTCCGCATTCCAAAGGTTGAGGATCATCCAGAACTCTGCAACGATGTCCACTCAAGTACCAGCCTCCGTGACCCTATCACCCCAATCCTCACCCGACTCCACTGGGTTCCCATCACACAGTAGATACAGTTCAAGATCCGGGTCCTCACCTTCAAAGCCCTCCATGGCCTCGCTCCCCCCTATCTCTGCAACCTCCTAAACCCCTACCAACCTGCCCGCTCCCTCCGCTCAGTGGGCTCCGGCCTGTTTCATGTCCCCCGCCTCAGGGATGGGCCTTCTGCCACTCTACCTCCTCCACCCTTTGGAACTCCAACCCGCAGTCCCTCCAACAACAACATTGTTGTTGTTAATGTTGAATATTTTTGTGCTCCGTGTCATTTCTGCTTATAGTTACATCTGCACTTTTTATTTCAGGTTTATACCGGAGTCTCCCAGGTGGCTACTCTCCAAGGGTCGAGTGGAAGAAGCAGAGGCCATAGTGCAAGCTGCTGCTAAGCAAAATGGCATTACATACACAGGGGTGATATTTAAGAATATTAATAGTTCCACAGATATGGTAATGTACTATGTTGTATTTCAATAGTGTATTATTTATTTTGCCAGGTAAACTTTTCAATAGGTTACATTAAAATTCATCTTTTGGGGAAAGTTGAGACAAAAGTGTCACTCTTGAGTACTGTGGACCCACCTGGCTCAGTGACTGGATTACTGAGACCATCATGGAGGATTGGTTGATTCCAGCAATCCATTGCCAAGCATATCATCTTGATATCAGTTCAACTCCTTATCTCCAGAGGATAGTCCTCAGTTTACGTTCCAATGGGTTACAATGACACACTTTTGATGACTGGCACAATTCGCTATTCGCATGACTGATGAAGGAATACTATTAAGAAATGCTGTATATTAATCCCATTAGTAATATATTGTTTGAGCTCTGGGAATTTAACATTAGTGAGGCTGGGATCTTGGATAGGTTCAAGGGACATAAACCCAAAAATAACCTAGGACGGAGTGAACTGTACCCTAGAATACTTAGGGAGGTGAAGCAGGTGATTTGTGCAGCACGGATAGACGCTATCGCCACAAATATACAGTCAATTCATTTTACAGTATATCCTGTGAAGCGCTTTGAGACGACTAGAAGACATGAAAAGCGCTATATCAAATGCAAGGATTATTATTACGAGAAGTGAGGATGGAACTTACCACGGAGAAGCTGAAAGTTTCATTGTATCAAAATTGCGTGAGACAAATAAACAAAGCAAACAGAAGATCCCCAGACCCTAAAGGCAGGGCAAACCATCGCAACGAGGATGATCCTTGTTGTTAGTGGATTAGACAAGATAAGACTAGCGATCTTCAATCTTGAGAGAGTATGGCTCAGAGGGACATTTACAGAGAAATATAACATTCTAAATTAGAATTGAAAAGTTAACCCACATCAATACTTTACAATGTACCAAGATGTTAGAGAAAGAGAACATAACTTTAGAGTTTTAAAACAATCTTGTGAACTTGTGATAAAAGTATTTAATTTTTTATGCCAACAAGATGATATAGGATGTCCTTCCAATGTGAAAGGCACTATATAAATGCACTTTGTTCTTGTTGTTGATATGCTTGGCAATGGAGTACTGAAATGCAAATATTTGGGATAAATTGTTGAGGATACATCTGAACTGTTTTGTGATCTATTGACTTTGTTGAGTGTGTAGAAAAGATTAGCGGTCAGTTGTAAACCTTGTGTAGAAAAGATTAGCGGTCAGTTGTAAACCTACGCCATTCTGGGGAGAAATTCAACCAAGGTCTAGATTTACTCCATTTTTTATCAGCATTTCAGAATATACAGAATTTGACAACCTACCGAATACAGCTACGTTTTTTCCTAATGGTGTGTGTGTATATATATATATATATATATATTATGTGTGCATTGAGTCCTGTAGCTCAGTGGTTAGAACACTTGCCTTGCAAGCGAGACACCAGGGCGAAACCTTGGGCAAATTTCCTTACTCCACACGCCTAATAATAATCCCTCCAAAACAAAACAATAATAAGTTGGTCATTTTCAATCCACGACTGTTTGTGGGACACTGTTGTGCGCAATTGACTGCCACGTTTCGCCCACAAATACACGGTCAATTCACTTTACAGTCTATTCTGTGAACCGCTTTGAGATGTCGAGAAGATGTGAAAAGTGCTATATCAAATGCAAGGATTATTATTATATATATACTTGAATCAAATTGTTTCTTATATTTTCTAGCTGTCAAATCCAAAGCATAATATTAAACGTACGTACACCTACTTTGATTTGGTTAAAGATTTCAATTTAAGGATCAACACAGTGGTGTCCTGTTTCATGTGGTGAGTGAATAACTAACACCAGCATTAATTAATGCAATTACAACATTTGTGTGTCTGCTCAGCTTAGTTGGTAGCATCTATAAGTTAGAAAGTTGTGATTTCAAGCCCCATGTCAGGACTTCAAACTCTCAGTCCAGGCTGACTTGACAATGGGGTACATTGCATTGTCGAAGGTGGTGTCTTTCAGATGAGATGTTAAACCAAAGCTGTCTGCTTCTTGGTGGACATTAAATATCCCATAACACTATTAAGAAAGAGAAGGGAGTTTCTCATGATGTACATTTACAACACTGGAGCTCATCCTCACTCTTAAATCCCTCCATGGTCTTGCCCACCCTACCTCTGTGACCTTCTAAAACCCTACCAACTTGCACGCATCCTCTGTTCGGTAGGCACTGGCTGTTCCATGTCCTCCACCCTGCTCACCCAGTGGTTGGGCCTGCAGTCTTAATACCTCTACTCTTTGGAACTCCATCCATTCACCTCACCCTTTCCCCTGCCTCCTTCAAGGTCCGTCTCAAGACCTTTGTATTTGACTGTGCCTTTGGTCATGTTCCCCACCCACACCCCCACTCATCCCCAAACCATACTCCAGCTTGGGTCCAAACCCTCTATTGTCCAGCGGCCTGGGACAACCTCCCAACTTGAGGGGCGCTGTATCAATTCCATTTTTTCCTGTTGTTGACTTTTTTGAAAGTGAGTGTAATTGTAAATTCTAACCATTTGAGTGGCTTGTAACTTTATTTTTGTTTAATATTCATCTTCTAGGCTTGATCGGATGATTGAAGAGCAGTTAAATTCCCAGCCAAAACATAATTCTCTCTAAGTACATTTTATCAATCTGCCCTGAGGGCATTCGTGCCTGAACTGAGCTGAGTTCAGTGCTAGTGCCAGATAATAAACAAATTGTGTCAGCCGTCGAGATTGGAATGTTCATATACCTGGTAGTGAGTTAAAGGTTAAAACTGAATAGTGAGAAGGAGACCATTTGTGCAGAATATTGGACTTTTGTCAATGAAGGTCTCGGTAGGTTTAATTGCTCACTGTGTTGAGATTTCAATCTGAGCAATGCTGTTTTGCAGAGATGTTGAATGAAAAGCCAACTGTCCAGGGACACAGAGTTCTGAAGAGGCTATTCTCATATACTGACTTGTAGCTGTTCAGAGAGACATCATGAATAATAATAATGATAATCCTTGTGTTTGATATAGTGCCTTATCACACCGTTGAGATGTCTCAAAGTGTTTCACAGAATATACTGTAGTGTAGTGACAAAGTGTAGTGACTGTGTATTTTGAGGGAGAAACACGGCAGACAATTACTACCGATAGTAGTATTAGTATGATTCATTGATTGAATCCTGAGAGTAGATCATGCCCTCTCTGGCCATATCTAATTTATGAATAGGCCACAGATGAAAAATAGAAATAAGTTTCGACTTGAATTAGAAAAGAAAATAATCAGAAGAAAAACATATTTTCTGTTTTTGTATTTTGCAGGATAATTATAAGTACCTGTTACTTTGGGATATCCTTGAATACTTCTAACATGAATGGAGATCCCTACATCAACTGTTTAATCAGTGCAGCTTCTGAAATTGTAGCATACATATTCGCCTGGTGGTTGTTGAAAATAGCACATCGAAGAATGGCAAATGTATCCATGATGTTACTCAGTGGAACTATGTTGCTGTTGATACAACTGGTGCCTTCAGGTAAGAATTTAAACAAATTGTTCTCAAGTTTTTGATTTTTCCTTTAATCTTTCAATCAATGTTGTCAGTTACTTTGGGTAATTGGGTTCTGTCCAAATGCTTCTCCAGCTGACAAAACATCTTTTTATCATAGAATCTTAGAATCGTACAGCACAGAAGGAGGCCATTTGGCCCATTGTGCCTGTGCTGGCTCTTTCAAAACAATTAATCTCACTCCCCTACCGTTTCCCCATAGACTACCGAGGTTTTGTTTTAACCTTTTAGACTAAAAATTGCTGTTTTCCTACACATATGGTTTATTGGCTAGTTGAAAATTGCAATCCAACACTTTCTGTAACTAATTGTCAGGAATACGAATGATCAGCTCGCCCCAGTCCTCAGCCCCCACCATCTTGGATCCTATCACAACCATAGTGGGCCTCAGAATATATATTTTTTGCCGCTGGAGATAGTTTGAGCACTATTAATCATCTTTACAAAGGTATAGCATCTTTGTCATCAGGAAGAAGTCCCAAAGTGTTTCACAGGATATATTGTAAAGTGCAGTGACTGTGTGTGTTTTCTGGTTGAACAAGGCAGCCAATTTGCACAAGGCAGCGTCCGTCAAACATCCATGAATTTTATTTGGGGGATTGTTGGCCAGGACATCGTGAGAAACTCCCATGGAATCCTGTAGTCTCAATGGTTAGAGCACTCACCTCGCAAGCAAGAGACCCCTGTTCGATTCCTGGCAGGGAGAAACTTTGGCCGATTTTCCTTACTCCACATGTCTCTGTTTACCTAGCTATAAGTAGGAACCCGGTTGTAAATCGATTGGAGGATTTCTTTTTCAAGGGTAATAATTCTTTCAAAAAAATAATAATACATTGGTCACTTCAATCCATAACTGTTTGTGGGACACTGCTGTGCATAATTGGCTGCCGCGTTTCGCCCACGTAATATACAGTGAATTCACTTTAAAGTATATTCTGTGAAGTGCTTTGAGACGTCTCGAAGACGTGATAAGGCTCTATAACAAATGTAAGGATTATTATTTTCTTTTTTCAAATTTTGGAATAGTGCCATGGACTCTTTAAGAGGCAGGCAGGGTCTCAGTTTAGTGTTTCATCAAAAGTAAGAAAACAGAAATATAGGAGTATAACATAACATACATGGCATTCCTTAAATATTCTTTAAAGCAGCACTGGCATGACTCAACGTCAATGTTAATTAGTGTTGCGAATAACTGTTAAGGTCAGGTCCACACAAACGCTGCTGTAATACTTTAACCTGATGCGGTATGTGGTGATCTAACCTGAACTCTGTAATAATGATAGACCTTGCATTTGATATATCGCCTTAACACGTCTTTGAGACATCTCAAAGCGCTTCACAGATATACTGTAAGTGAATTGACTGTATATCTTGTGGCCGAAACGCTACCTGTAATCTGATTGTCAAACTGAGCTGTTACTCTCTTAGAATACCAGCAAGAGGTGACCGATCATATATTTGTGTGTGTCATATTTTTGGCTTTCATAGAGTGAGTTGAGCAGTTATTTGTTCTCTGGCAAAATGCTTGCTCCCCAATCCAGAACATTTTATTTCATAAAATATGAAAGCTGTACAGAAGTCCCAACCTCAATTTATAAATTAATATTTTCTGGGAAAGGCACGGGTGGGATGGAGGTGGGTGGGGGGCAGCAGCCAGTCAGTGTATTACAGTAGGTTTGTTGTGAAGCTAATAATCGTAGGAATGTTAACTAACACTGAAGACTGTTAATTGTGATTGTATTTAATGATAATAGTATTGCTAATATAATTTTAAGGAATTTCACACATTGTACCTCCTTACAAACGTGAAAATGAAAATCATCAGCTCAGATGTAGAAGGTTGCCATGCTGAACGTACTCACTGAATGAGTAGCAATAATTCATCAGCTTTCTGCAAAAACACAGTAGTTTGGGATTCACGATCCCTAGAGTTTGAAATATGACCCGACAATCCAAGATGGTGCAATAATTCTTTTATTATAAGACAGTGAGCTTAATAGTGTGTAAAGAAGAGCATACTAACGGTTAATCCGCATAGAACAAAAATGGAAGAAACATTTCTTGGCTGTCGTCACGCGTTTGCCCTGGTTTCGCTGGTGTAATTCCCTCGCGCCCCTCCTGCCAGCTGGGACTAACTGACTTCTCTGTCTCTCTCTTCACTAATTATACCCTTTTCTGGACTCTTGCCAGATACCTTTTTCCCTCTCATAACTTGATCTGCGCGTACTCATCCTAATCAATCATTGGCCTGGCGCCAGCCTGACCGGTGTTGATAAGGTGAGTCTCCATTGTCTTGTCTATAATGATGTTATTCGGGACTGGCCTATTGGGAAGTCTACTCCTTATCTTCCTAGGCCTAGCACATGATGTTTTGCAGACCTTTTTCTCTCCGTTTCTAGCTGGTACCCAAGGTTACAATAACACTTAGGACTCTGCATCTGGAGAGAGGAGAGATAACGGGTGCCGTGGTTCCAGCCTGTGCCACATTCCGTTAATAAGAAAGCTAATTTGGCAGCCATTTTGACCTGTTAATACAATAATTAAACATATCTTAAAAGAATGGATATAAAAATCTTGTTCTATTCTAAATGATTATAGGGGAATTCCTATGTCCCAACAGTATTATATTTAATTTTTTTTATTGGGTGTTAGGAACACAAAACAATATGCAATAATGGATGTACTTAATAATCCTTGCATTTGATGTAGTGTCTTATCACAAAGTTGAGATGTCTCAAATCGCTTCACAGAATATATTTTAAAGTGGATTGACTGTGTATTTTGTGGGTGAAATGTGAATTGTTTTTAATAATCAAACTCTGCCACAGTATTCCTCACCCATCTCCTATTGGAGAACGGGTCAATTTTAAGATCTTCACACACATATGCAAGCCACCTCATGCTCTAGCATCTTTCTACCTTTACGATCCCATTCCTCTTCCCATCCTCTTCGCTCAACTGGCTCAAGCCTTCTAAATACCTCTCGTGCCTTAGCTCCACCATCGGTAGCCATGCGTTCAGTCGCTACAACAACAACAACATTACATTTATAGAGCACCTTTCACATCAGGAGGATGTCCCAAAGTGCTGAAAAGTCAGGTGTTGGGGCCCGAGCATGGGGAAGGGGTGGTGTAGGGGTGAGGAAAGCAGAGAGGTGGGAGGGAGACCAAAGGCACGGTCAAAGAGAAGGGTCTTGAGACTGGCCTTCAAGGAGGCAAGAGAGGAAGCGAGGCGAAGGGACCATGGGATGGAGTTCCAGAGTGCGGGGGCAGAGATGTTGAAAGCCCAGCTACCAATGGTAGGGCGGGTAGGTGGGGGACATGGAGCAGGCCGGAGCCCGATGAACGGAGGGAGTGGGCAGGTTGGTAGGGAGTCAGCAGGTCAGAGAGACAGGAGGGGGCAAGGCCTTGGATGGCCTTAAAGGTGAGGATGAGGATCTTGAACTCGATCCTCTGGGGGATGGGGAGCCAGTGGAGTCCGGCGAGGGTGGGAGTGATGGGGTCACGGAGCCTGGTGCGTGAGCATACAAGAGCTGCAGAGTTTTAGATGATCTGCAGCATGGGAAGGGAAGAGTTGGGAAGGCCGATGAGGAGGGAGTTCCCGTAATCGAGCCTTGAGGTGATGAATTCGTGGGTGAGGGTTTCGGCAGCCTGAGGGGTGAGGCAGTGGCGGAGTCTGGCAATGTTGCGAAGGTGGTGGTAGGCAGTGCTGGTCATGGCATGGTTGTGGGGGAGAAAGGACAGTTCAGGGTCAAACAAGACACCCAGGTTCCTGACTGGCTTAGTGAGGTTGAGTGTGCAGCCATGGAGGCTGATGCTGCTAGCACCCGGGGTGCGGAGGCGCTGGCGCGAGCCGGCCAGGAGGGCCTTGCTCTTGCTGACATAAGTTGGAGAAAGTTGACCCTCGTCCAGGACTTGATGTTGGACAGGCAGACGGTCAGGACGCCAGTAGTCCTGGAGTTCAGGGTGGAGACAGAGAGGTAGAGCTGTGTGTCATCCACACACATGTGGAAATTTACCCCATGTCTACCAGTCAAGGACAGAACCTTGAAGGTCGAGGTGGGAGTAGAGGCGGTGGAGGAGGATTGATTGGCCCATGGTGTCAAAGGCAGCGGAGAGGTCGAGGAGGATGAAGAGGCAAAGGGAGCCCTGGTCACACATGGGCAGGATATTGTTTGTGACCTTGACCAGAGCAGTTTCCGTGCTGTAGGCAGCACGGAAACCTGATTGGAGGGGTTCATGGAGGGAGTGGGAGGAGAGGAAAGAGCGAAGCTGGGAGGCATCAGCTCTCTCAAGGACCTTGGATAGGAAAGGAAGATTTGAGATGGGCCGTTAGCTAGATAGCTATGATGAGTCAAGGGAAGATTTCTTCAAGGTGGGTGTGATAATGGCTGTTTTAAGGGGGAAGGAATAGTGCCAGATGACAGGGAGACTACAACCCAAAACTTTTGAACGCTCTGCCAATATCCCCTTGCTTTGCCCCCTTCCTTGCCTGTATGTGGATCACACATGAAGACCTTCTTCTTTGACTGTGTCACAATCATCTTCCCCTTTCGTGGAGTCCTGTAGCTCAGTAGTTAGACTACTCGCCTTGCAAGTGAGAGACCTGAGTTCAATTCCAGGCAGGGCAAAACCTTGCACGAGTTTCCTTGCTCCACACACCTAATAATAATCCCTCCAAAACAAAACAATAAAAAATTGGTCATTTTCAATCCATTACTGTTTGTGTGACATTGCTGTGCGCAATTGGCTGCTGCGTTTCACCCACAAATATACAGTCAATTCACTTTACAACATATTCTGTGAGGCACTTTGAGATGTCTAGAAGACGTGAAAAGCACTATATCAAATGCAAGGAATATTTGTTATTTATTATTATATTATTATACTATATTATTATTATATTATTATATATTTTATTATTATATTATTATTATTCTTTGGCTCTATGTCAAAGTCCACCACTGTTAACCGCTCTGAAACATTAACCTGCATAAAGGACGGTGTAGAAATGCATGTACTTGTTGTTATTGATCTCTTTCTCTAATATGTTCCATCTAATTGCCTACATTTTATTTTACAGCTCTGCATATTGTTTTCACGGTGCTGGCAATGATTGGTAAATTTTGCATTACGACAGTCTTTGCTGTCATCTATATTTACTCAGCTGAGCTTTTTCCAACTGTAGTGAGAAACATGGGGCTTGGAGCCTGTTCTATGGCATCCAGGTTTGGCTCAGTAATGTCCCCGTATATTGTTTATCTTGGTAAGTGCAAGTTACTTCATTGACAGTTTTGAAAATCTTTGTTACTTGCAAGACGTTTTAAATTATTTATGTACACGTTTCAGATTGTTGGTAAACAACTGTACTTTGGTTAAAAATATAATCATTCAAGATCCACTGCACATGATTTGTTTTTTAACAATGTAGAATATTACATATTGAGATAGGACCATCAAACCCACTGGGCCTTTAGATCACAAGATTGGGGGCAGCTCTGAGTCTATAAACCATGGAAATGTACGAACAGTAGGTGACCATTCAAACCACTGTACCAGGGTTTGTGTTTGATCCTCCAATTAAGCCATCTACCTTCATCCCAATTTCACTATACCTTTTAATGCCCTTCCTCTACATGTGCTTGTATCTAATTCCCTTTTAAATATCCCATGTATAGATGTTCTGTAATGAACCTTAAAAAGTGAAAAAGTGTTCAACTGAGCATGGTTCAACTGAAGTCATAGGCATTACTGCTATATCTGTCTGACAGAGGACTTCAGAATTTGGGTAATAGCTTTGTGGAGAGCTTTTATGATATGGAAACCAGAATTAAGTTGGGAACAGGAATAGATGCTCAAATGTTCTTGAGATTCGATGTTGGGAAGTCCATAGTTATTTTCCATATTTTCAATATTGAAAAATCAACACTAACTGTGTGGGAGGCAATCTCCTTCTGCCATTTAATTATGATATATGGTCCTACTGCAGTTTAGAATCTCAAACACTTTTCGATGCTTCGATCCAGGGGGCTATTGTGGGAATCCCAAGAAGCAATTTGCTGGATCTTATTTAGTATTTTAATGCCTGGGCAAATTAGTCACACCTGTCAGCATAATTTCATTTTATAGTCTGTTTAATCATATTTTTTCAAAGCTTTTCATGTAATTTGTGATGTTGGGAATTGAGATTAGGTGAAGGATCTGAAATGTAGAGAAGGACATCGTCTGAGCATTTTGAAGGTTTCCATTCAGTGCTGGACAACGTTATATTATCATAGGCTTGGTGCAGATTTTCACAGCTAATGGCTCTAAAATAAGACCAAAGAGGAGGAGGGAACAGAGGTGGCATCATTGCTGAATAACCCTGTTGAGACTGAAAGTTACTAGAGTGTCAACCAGAATGAGCCACCAAAGGCCTGAACTACGCCTTGGGACGTCCTCCCGACGTGAAAGGCGCTCTATAAATGGAATCTTGTTGTTGTTGTTGTTGTACTCCTGGTCATCGTCTTATGATTATTTTCTTAAAGTTTAATATTGTGCAAATTTGGAAAATTCTTCAACTTGTTAATTTACTAAATTGTTAGTAAGTTTTCCATGTTTAATCCCAATTATTTGTTTCTTTTTGCATTTTAGGAAGGTTTAACAAGGAGCTCCCTTTCATATTAATGGGGTTATTGATGCTGGTATCTGTGGTTCTCAGTTGCATCTTACCTGAGACACATAAACAACCTCTTCCAGACACAATTGAGCAGACACAACCACCTAGATGGTAAGGCTGTGTTCGGCATTGGGTAGGGATATGTTTCATTTGTTTTTGTGCCTTTCTTTCTTCCCTTCACTTTACACAATTCTCTGCTTTATTTCACTATTCCCATTTCCCATTATTCAATCGCATCCTTCCAGTATAAACCTTCTAATGGGACTGTCAAATCAGCACCTTTAAGGATTTGAGGGAGCAAGGAGAACTGTTGGACAAAAGCAAGATATTAAATATGTGCCTTGAGAATGGAGGGACCCAGATCTGAGAGTACATAATTGAAGAGATCATCTAAGAATAGTCATCAAAAAACTTTCTTTATGGATTCTTGATGTGATTTATTTTCTACTTCTAACTCCATGAACTGAAAACAAGGTCTTTCTGCCTTTTATTGTGGACATTGAAGATTCCAAAGCACTGTTCAAAAAGAGAAGGGAGTTTTTCCCAGTGTTTTGGGCCAACAGTCCCCCAAATGAAATCGGTCATTCACTTCATGGCTGTTTGTGGGATATTGATATGCGCTAATAGGCTGTTGCATTCACCTACAAAAAATGGAGATATAGCCCTTACAGTAAATCTAGTGATTCATTATCAAATGCAAGGCTAATTAATATATTATTATTTTAACTGGTACCAGTATAGTAGGAAAGTGTTTTTATCAAATCACCTGAAGCAGCAATAAAATTCACAAAGCAACATTGGGGGCAAAGGGAAAATAGATCACTGGATAAATGGATGCATTACTTATGTTTACTTTTCTGCTTTTTGTTTCAGTTGTGCAATCAAGAGGAATAAGGTTGTCATTGCAGAAAATGATGAAATACCCGAACATTTGAACCTCAAAGAGTTCTGAGTTTTCATAAAATGCAATAATTTCAAACAGCTATTTGCTTCAGAAAATGGGACTAAAGTGGGATCATTTAAAAATATAAAACCTATTTAATCTGGCACTATTTGAATTCATAACAGAACTTACTTATTAATGTTTGACATGATTACATATATTCAAAGCACAACGTAAAAAATCATGTATTATTAGAGACCCTTCAGCTACTGGAGATCAGCTCTCTAATACTCTGTCTAATACACATTGGAACATCCACCTTCTATCTGAATGTCCCAAATGTTTTGCTTCTATCTGACCTGGAAAGTTGTTGCAAATACTTATGATTCTTTCAGGAAAAGGTTCTTCTTAATTGCACTTGAAATCTATCTTCACTATTCACTACAATCTTTTCGCAAAATCATAAGAAAGGTTTGCATGAAGAATGAATAAGGCTCTTCATCCCACTTGATCTCATCTCCTACAATGGGAGTAGACAAGCTAAATGTCTACTTGGACACAACTCCTTCTTGAAATTATGTTTAAACTAATAAGATAGGCGGGTGGGGGGAGAGAAAGTGCCCATAGTTAAGAGGGAAAAGAGCTAAACATATAAAGTGCTTTTATACTAATGCATACACTATGAGGAATAAAACTGATGGACTAGAGGCACTAATTCAGGTAAACGGATACAATATGATGGCAATTACAGAAACCTGGCTACAATCCAGGCAGATTGGTAGCTAAGTATTCCCGAGTATAGGATATTTAGGAAAGATTTTCAAAAGGGTCAGGGTGTAATACTATTAATAAGACATGCAATTTTGGCAATTGAGAAAAAGGATTTAAACAGTGATCGTCGGGAGTTACATTCAATATTCAGAGCTCAGAAATAGAAGAGGTTGTAAGACTTTCGTAGAGATTATTTATCGACGACCTGATAGTAATGATGACATTGAAGAAATTGTATATAGGCAGATCGAGGAAGCTTGCAGCAGTAGTTGTAATTGGTGACTTCAATCTTTATGTAGACTGGGAACATTATAGAAGTATTAGTAATCAGACCAGTACATTTTTGGAATTCATACAGGATAAAAATAATGCACTGATTCCTGAGCCAGAAGGGCCCACAGTATGTATATAGTGCCCTTTACACGGGGCAGCGTCTCAGTGTGCTTAATTGGAGAATTGGATACTTTTCCAAAACAATATGTTTTAGAATCTACATGGGACCAGGCAATATGAGAATTGGTAATCACTAAGGAACCAGATATGGTTAATAATCTGAAAACACTTCTGTTTTTTTTTCAGAATCTGCAGTATTTTGTGTTCCGTTTTTTTTTATGGTTAACAATCTGATGGTGAGGGACTATCTTGGAGTCATTGACCATAATATAATTGAAATTCATATGGTGTTTGAAATTGAGGAGGGGAGATCAAAGACGAAGGATATAAATTTAAACAAAGCTAATTGTGAAGGCATGAAAAAGGAATTGGTGACAGTTAAATGGGATACACTGTTAGTTGACAAAAATACAAGTGAACAATGGGAAATGGTTAAAGACCCAATTAACAAAATCCATATTAAATACATAGTCCTAAAAGCCAAAGGTGTCAAACAACCTTGGTGTTTTTTTTGGCCAGCTGGGTGTCTGACATGATGAGGAAACCCATCACCACATAGATTGCCATTGATAGTCATGGCAAGCATTCCTGCTGCTTGTCCAGCTAGGACCACCCTACATTAAGACTTTGGCTGCAGGGTTAACAGGCGCTGTGTAGGATGACTTCCTGCCCCCAGTGACTGGACTGCCCTTCCAAGTCCAGCCAATGAGCCAGGCTGGCTGAGCTGTCATCAGCATTGCCCTGGAATACTGCGGGCCCATCCGGCTCAGGAATCAGACCACCACAGAGGGCTTGCTTCCGACATTCCATTGCCAGTTGAGCGCCAATGAGATACTGCCTTCCTCCCCCCAAGCAGGTTATTGCATAGTATAGTACAGGACAGCCTGTACCAGTGTCTCCCTCCCTCCCACCCTCTGTCTGTCTGTCTGCCCTGTCCTTCCCCTGCAGGCTGCTCATTGCTATCCACAATAAGCACCCCCCCACCTCAGCGCCAACTCTAGCCCCCCTCAGCCTCCTGCCGGCTGACCATGTCCTGCTGAACCCGCCGCCTCTTGTCTCAGGGTGTGCATCTTGGCTGCTGCCCCCGACCCGAGCTGGCCCTCCCTCAAAATGCCCCCCTCCCTGCAACTCTCCCTCTCTGTCCTGCTCTCTTTCTACCCTCCCCGCCTCCTATCTCTGCTTGAACCCCCCACTGCCTCCCTCTGCTCCAGCCTGGGTATCCTCCACCGGGCTCTTCGTGGCGCTCAGCGTTGGCTGTCCAGCAGCAGCCACACCAACTACCCCATTCCCCACTATTGCCGCAAGCCACTCCAGACCCTGACCCCGGGGATAACCTCTCCTCCCTCATCTGCATCTCCACCCTCCCTCTCAACCATTCCACTACCCCCTCCCATCCCACACATCCCTTTGTCAACTGTCCACTCCGCATTGGCCTTCAAAATGTCCGCTCCATCTCCAACAAGACCCTGGCCATCAATGAACTCATCCTCGATGAGAACATTGACATCCTGGCACTCACAGAAACCTGGATCACCCCAGGTGGCACCTTCCCTCTCACTGAGGCACCTACCACCATGCCCCACGCTCCATCCATCATGGCAGTAGTGTAGCCCTCATATCCAGGGCATCACTTGACCTATCCCCCTACTCCACCGGCTCGTTCCACTCTTTCGAACACCTTATCCCCTGCCATCCCTCCCACCTCTCTGAAAATTCTCTTTCTTTACTGGCCCTCAAAATCCTCTCCCACCTTCATCTCTGACATCTCCACCCTCTTTGCTTCCCTCTGCCTCTGCTCCGACCGTCTCATCATCCTAGGTGACTTCAACCTCCACTTCACCCCCTCCTGCTCCATCTCCTCAGACTTCTGCTCCCTCCTCTCCTCTCTCAATCTCTCCCTCCACATCCACTCTGCTACCCACACCCACGGTCAGCCACTCAACCTGGTGATCAACCCATCACAGCTATCCAGCTACTGGCCCATCTCAAATCTCCCCTTCCTATCCAAGGTCCTTGAGAGAGTTGTTGCCTCCCAGTTTCGCTCTTTCCTCTCCTCTCACTCCCTCCATGAACCCCTCCAATCGGGTTTCCGTGCTGCCCACAGAACAGAAACTGCTCTGGTCAAGATCACAAACAACATCCTGACCATGTGTGACCAGGGCTTCCCACTGCCTCCTCATCCTCCTCGACCTCTCCACAGCCTTTGACGCCGTGGACCACTCAATCTTCCTCCACCGCCTCTCTTCCCACCTTAACCTTCAAGGTTCTGTCCTCGACTGGTTCAGGTCCTACTTTTCACACCACCTCCACTTTGTCACGGCAAACGGCTTCTCCTCCAGGTCCCGCACTGTCTCATGCGGTGTTCCTCAAGGCTCTGTCTTCGGTCCCCTCCTCTTCACCCTCTACATGCTCCCCCTTGGTGACATCATCCACAGACATGGGGTAAATTTCCACATGTATGCGGATGACACCCAACTCTATCTCTCTGCTTACACCCTGAACTCCAGGACCACTGGCGTCATGACTGACTGCCTATCCAACATCAAGTCCTGGTCGAGGGATAACTTTCTCCAACTGAATGTCAGCAAGACCGAGGCCCTTCTGATTGGCTCTCGCCAGCGCCTCCGCACCTCAGGCGCTGACAGCATCAGCCTCCACGGCTGCACACTCAACCTCACTGAGCCAGTCAGGAATCTGGGTGTCTTGTTTGACCCTGAACTGTCCTTTCTCCCCCACATCCGTGCCATGACCGGCACTGCCTACCACCACCTCCGCAATATTGCCAGACTCCGCCACTGCCTCACCCCTCAGGCTGCCGAAACCCTCACCCACGCATTCATCACCTCAAGGTTTAATTATGGGAACTCCCTCCAGCGGCCTTCCCAACTCTTCCCTTTACAAGCTGCAGATCATCCAAAACTCTGCAGCTCGTGTACTTTCACGCACCAGGCTCCGTGACCCCATCACTCCCACCCTCGCCTGATTCCACTGGCTCCCCATCCCCCAAAGGATCGAGTTCAAGATCCTCGTCCTCACCTTTAAGGCCATCCTTGGCCTTGTCCTCTCCTACCATTCTGACCTGACTCCCTACCAACCTGCCCACTCCCTCCGTTCATCGGGCTCCGGCCTGCTCCATGTCTCGCCCAACCCGCTTTACCATCGGTAGCCGGGCTTTCAGTCTCTCTGCCCCCATCTCTGGAACTCCATCCCACGGTCCCTTCGCCTTACTTCCTCCATTACCTCCTTCAAGACTGGTCTCAAGACCCGTCTCTTCAACCCTGACTTTGGTCTCCCTCCCACCTCTCTGCTTCCCTCACCCCTACACCACCCCTCCCCCATGCTCGGGCCCTGACACCTGACTGTTCAGCGCTTTGGGACGTCCTCCCGATGTGAAAGGCGCTCTATAAATGTAATTTTGTTGTTGTTGTTGTTTGAGCCCTCACTAGTTGTACGGTACATGCAAGGAACGCCTTGCGAGCTTCTCAGCACGAAATGCATGACAGCATTGCCACAGTCTTCCTGTCGCAGCTCGGGCACACATCCTCTCCATTGAGCGATGGTTCCACCAATTGGAGGTGCAGAGGTTATGCAGCAGCTGCCTGCCTCTCTGTAGATCAATCAAGGTAGATTCCATGCGTTGGTCATACTAACGTGTGTTTACGAACTCGGATTCTAAGTAAGGTCTTCCAACAGCTGTCGCCCAAAGCGTCAGAGTTTCCTCATCAGCTATCTTGTGGGCATATGCATTCAGTTTGGTCCACGGACCTTTACAGAACAGTTTGTGACATGCTTGCCATCTTGATGTTCTTGAGGTCCAAGTCCATAAATAGTAAGGGAAGGGTGTACAAAACCACAAAAGCAAGTAGAAAGGCAGAGGATTGGGTATATTATTAGGAACAACAAAG